AAGTCAACTATTTGATACTTCCTATATTTTTGTAGCTTTGTTTAGGGGTGTATATATAGATATGGGCAACAACCGTCATCCAACATATGTTGTTTAAATTCTTATTGTTCATATGCAAACTTCTTTTCGTTGTCTCGTTAGACTGTTTTGTATCCAATTTTTCATCTGCATTGAATATATCGCGGATTGATATATCTCATAGCAGAAGAGAAGGGTTGTCAAGTGCAATGAGAAAAAAGGCTGTAATTGAGTTTAATTCATAATTACGATCGATACATTTTAAAAAGTAAATTCCTATACAAGCAATTTTATACTATGAAATTCAACGTTCTTTGATCCAAAAAATGTTTTGTTGTTGTATTTATGGGTTTAACTCGTATTATTTGTTATAAATAAAATCCATTTTTTTAATTCTTGTCAAATGGGCTAATAGCTGGAAATCATTAGAATGGGAGGTATTGGAAAGAATTTAAATTTTCATTCCCCAATATCGCTTTTATAAATAAAATAATTGAAGAAATAATTCTAACCCAATGGGCTAGAGTGGTATTTTAGCCCTAAACCCTAAAATGATATGACAAAAATGTATATTTAAAGGGTATAGCCGCACGGCTATACTCTCTAAATAGATTCGAATATTTTAAGAGTATAGCCGAACGGCTAGATGCTTTAATATTAATGTATTCGAATATTTTAAGCGTATAGCCGCACGGCTATACTCTTTAAATATTAACACGAAGCTTGCTCTCGCAGTTTAGAGTATAGTCACAGCCATTTCGCTTCAATTGGTTTTCTTCGGTTTCGGCTGGTTCGTCCTCCGGGTTCGGCACCGGAAAAAGACCCAACTCGCCTAAGAGGCCCACCCAGCCGCCTAGCTCCCGCCTAGCCGCCTAGCGCCCGCCTAGCCCTCGCCTAGCTGCCTAGCGCCCGCCTAGCCCAACATCGCCGGCTTGTTGCCGATTTTGATGGAGAAAAATCTGATAGCGGAGACAGGGTCAAGTTCCAGAGCCATAGAATTGGACCATATTCAGGAGGAGATTGAGGAGGTGTCTGCCGTTCCGGAAGCGAAGGAGAAGAAGAAGTGCAGAAATGCTTTGAGGAAGGGGTCGGAAGGTGAAGAGGTTCGAGCTATGTAGGTCTGCTTGCTTTTGAAAGGCGAATTTTGATTTTTCGGAGTCTATCATTCATTTCTTGTGCTTTGTTTATGATTTAGTGTTGTCTTTGAATTATAAAATGGTACTTTTAAATTTGGCAAATTGAAAACTGAGCAGCATACAGTTTATTACAACTTACAAGGGGGTATTAACTTTCTTTTTAGTATAGAAAGTTGTTAACTTTTGTTTCTTTTCTTTTTCTGTAACTGGGTTTGTGTGGTTCTTTCCTTTTCTAGTGTTCGCTTCGTTTTTGGATGTAATATTTGTGATTTCGACTTGTTCTAATATAATGTTCTTGTTATTTGACAAGAAGAATTGCAAAAACTAGGATTTTACTCGGGTGAGGAAGACATGGAGTTTTCCAGCTTCTCAAGCGGGACCGAACGTGCTGTCAAGACTTGGCAAGTAAGTTTCAATTATCACTAGATGTTACTATGTATAATGCATGAAGAGTAAAATTTCAGAATCATCAAGTTGAACAAAAATTTCACAACGCGAAATATATATGTTAGTCAACTTGTAATATCTTGTTTGACAAGCCTCCTTAGACGCCCTTCAAGATGGCATAGTGACTGCAGAACTTCTTGAACAATTATATACGGTGGCACAAATTGAGGGTCTGGATAACAAAGGGCGTACTCTGACTGCTACACAAAAGGTATAGCCTTCTAACGACATACCATTAGCCTTTATTAAGTGGAAGCCGTTGATGTTTTAAGTTTCAGTGCCAATATATCATTCCTCGCTTGGAACTGAACATAATGGTTTGGTAAGTCATTACTTGCATTCCTCAAGAGGAGCCAAAAACTCATTTGATGGTTCAATTTGAAGTGAACTAAGCCTTCATTTTCTTCAACCAGATTGTAAAGAATTGTAGCAAACAGTACTAAGCACCAACCAAGAAGTTCTGTTACTTAATTGAGAAACGGACCTGAAGCTCCGACTCTATTTTCAGTAACTCAGACATGAGGTTTCTTGGTTCCAGTTCATGAGACAATCACTTAACCTGCAAATAAATACTGTTAGAATTGTAGTAGGTGTGATGTGTTGCTCTGATACCACTATTAGTTTAAGAGAGAAGAGATTTGGAAAATGGTTGGTAGTGTTTAGGACAATAACTTCACTTGGAAAGGAAAACTTTTGAAAGAGTAACAAAATAGTTTTATTTTATTGATTGAAATAAGAAGGGTACATGGCTTTAGAGTTGGTTGAATACAAGAGTTGGCTGATGGGAGAGTTAGACAGCAGTAGTTTTTAGCTATTCTTACTTGAATACATAATTGGGCTGCTAGCTATATATATAGAGTAGCTAAACCGACTCTCAAGGTTGGCAAATATCTAGTCAAGTCGGTTATTGCATAGTAACCAACTTTACAAAGTGTTTTCCAGCCACTAGTTATAATATGAATCTAGAATTGTCTAGTTACAATACATTATATAATTAATAGGATGTTTCTAGTGTAGAGCTCAAATTTGACTTGTCTTCTTCTCTCAATGTTTCTAGATTATTCTAGATTCAAGTGTGCATTAGTTTTCAACAAATACGATATGACAGTGACGTAGTGTGATGTGGTAATTGCTAACACACCGTAACTTATTTTGGATACTAATAAATGAAGCTGATTATATTGGTAAACTGATTTTCTTCTCCTGGTTGGCCTTGAGCTAGCAACCTAATCATGTTCGTATAAGCTATAGCGAACCACTACATAGGCTGAAACATCGTAATTCTTCTAATGGTTGCGTGGGTTCTGTTGTTTAGGAAGATACAAATGGAGCTGCAGCCTGCAGTTACTTCTGCAACAGAAATTTCAGAGGTCCAGCAAACACTTGTGAAAGAAGGTGTTACAGAAGTAGAGGTATCTGAGCATCGTGTTTTTCTCCTTGGAGAGAACCGCTAGGAAGATTCTTCTCGACTTAGCAGGAACTAAAAAAAAAGGAGGTGAAAGCAAGACAATGAATACCACAACAAGGTGTCTTACTTGTCGAGGGGAGGGTCGCTTATTGTGCACAGGTACCTCCTATCTATCTCCCGTCTTAGTCACTATATTCAAGTTTATAAACCATTGCCTTGCTACACTAAACTTTTGCAGAAGTATTCTAAATCCACCCATACTATGTATTTGTATATTTATTTTGTTTGATCTGATTTTTAAATATAATGTTGAACACCAATGGCTTTGATGATGATATGCATTAGTTTTATTTTTGTACTTTTGCATATTTTGTTTCAACTATCCTCAGTCCCCTTGGTAGCTTATCTGTATTTCTTTGTTGCAGAATGTGATGGAACAGGCAAGCCAAACATTGAAGAACATGTTAGAGGTTTCAATCAAAGATATTAATATTCTCATTTTTGAGCATTATCCATCCAGGATGAAGTTTTAATTATTTTGTTAAATGACAGCAGTTCTTGGATTGGGTGGAAGAGGGAGCAAAATGTCCATATTGTGAAGGTCATGGGTTTACAATTTGCGACGTATGTGAAGGGGCAACAGTAGCTTAGGTATGAAAATGTCTTCCCATAAAGACATGTGCAGTTTTATGCTTTAGTACATGTGTTTATGGTAGTTTTCATTTATAAACAAATGCAGAAAATCATATGTATATATATTGTTTATTATACTAATCAATGGGGTCTAGCTCAGTGGAAAAGGGCAATGACTTGCAAACCAGAGGTCTCATGTTCGAACGGCGACATCATAGTTGTGTGTGTGTGTGAGAAATCCCCCTCCCCTATAAAAATAATTAATTTTTAAAAAAAACAAGTTGATATTGTACTTGGAAATTAAAGAGAAAAATAAAAAGGGAAGTTGACAATCAGCAAATTTTATATACAAAAATAGACAAAATAAAATTGTATGTTACCTAAGAAAAAGGTACATAAAATACTATTACACATAGTCGAAAATATGAAAAAACATATATATATACCTATGCAATAGGCAATAGGCAATAGACAATAGACAATAGGCAACATGACATAAAAGACTATTACCCGATTCAAGTCATAAGGGGCAACATTGGAACAAAAAATGATTTTAAAAATAAAATAATAAAAAGATTACATTGTAAAATATTAAAATAGGAATGTAATTATATGTGGCACAAAAGTTAAAGGACTTGGATCAAAGTCACCAAATTTGATAATTAAGCTCAAATCCTCAATAGGAATTTGGATCTATATCAACTTTTCTATAAAAAAAGAAATTAATCTATGTGAGCATTTTGAGCACTAATATGGCTTGTATAAATAAAATAATTGAAGAAATAACTCTAGCCCAGTGGGCGAAAATGGTATTTTAGCCCTAAACCCTAAAATAATATGACAAAATTGTTTATTTAAAGGGTATAGCCGGGCGGCTATACTCTTCAAATATATTCGCACTTTTTAACGGTATAGCTGTACGGCTATACTCCCTTTCAAACTAGTCGAATATATTTTAAGAGTATAGCCGTTCGGCTATACGATTTATTTTAAAACTATAGCTGCATGGCTATATTCTTTGAATATATTCCTCACGAACACGAAGCTTAAACTCGCAGAGGAATGTGGTGCGCGAGTGAAATGAAGGGACAGATAAATGAACACGAAGCTTGCACTCGCAGTCATAGCCATTTCGCTTCTCTATAAGTGCTTCCAAGCTTCAAAGACTTGGTCTTGAGCCTTTCTCTCAATTCAAGCTTCGATTTTTTTTTTTTATTTTTTTTTT